ATCATGCCATGCCGACACTCTGTTGCGACGTGAAAGAAGGACAAACAAATAAACAAACACACTTTCGCATTTATAATATTATATTAGTATGGATAAGTTTAAGTATACCCAATGTAATTGTTTTTTTTTTGTGATGAATTAACGGAGCGACATATTCATATTGTGAATAAGCTCATTAATAAAGAATTTAAAAAAAAAAACAAAAAACTTTATATTAGGAAATAATTGTGTACAAACAAATGTACATACTATAAAAATCAAAAATTATGAATCAATCAATTTAAGAAGCATCAATTTAAGAGCGTAATTAAGAAGCAATAACACTTTTTGAGGAAAATTATGATCTTTCAACCACTTTTAGAATCCAATTTTTCAATCAGAATCAAAACAATACCCTACGCGTCGAGCACAATAGTGGTGGTGCGTATAAGTTACAACTTGTTCAATCATGCATTGCGAAGATTTTCGAAAAATATTCAATAATAAATAATAGACCATGTCGGATTACAGGGGGTGTCGGATTAGACAGGGGGTGCCGGATTAGACAGGGGGGTGCCGGATTAGACAGGGGGTGCCGGATTAGACAGGGGTGCCAGATTAGACAGGGGGGTGCCGGATTAGACAGGGGGTGCCGGATTAGACAGGGGGTGCCGGATTAGACAGGGGCCAAAATATCGGGGGTCCACTGTATGTCGAAACTTGTTACCGTAAAGCGCGCGGGATTAACGCCGGACCCTGCCGCTCAATCCCCCGCCCCACCTTACATGTTTTGTATCATCTAGTACCTTCGATCAACAATACTAATGCAAATTACCGGCACATGCTTATGTTTTGACTATTTTTGTGAGAAAAAACGTAGGTATTTCGTTGTGTTATTTTTAGTGAAAATTGATAATAATTATATGACAAAAATGAGTGGCAGGAGATCTATTTGGACTTGTTTTAAAGAAACTGAGGACCAAAATAAAGTGAAATGTACTAATGTAATGTAATGTTTCTTTGTTTGATTCCAAAACTATTTTATCAAGCTTTCTATTTGCTATAATTGGAAATGAATCTACAGTGTCTCAAAAACATAACGCTATACAAGTAGATTTAAGCCATAAATAAAATATACTTTCAATTGTATAATTATGAAAGACATGGCATTACTCAATTCGAACATTTCAAAACAGTTAGTCACTTTGAGTACCACTTTAACGAATGTTAGGTGATTTAGCCGAATATTCGGTATAGCTGACGAATATGCCGAATACTGAATACGAAACGAATATTCGGCCCATCTCTAATAAATCATTATATCTTTAGTCATTGTTATTGTGTCTGAAAATCGGACAGTGAAAGTGTTAAAAGGCTCTATTTAAAAAAAATCAGTGAGAGCCATTATAGAATTTTATAACCGAATATCTCAGGAGGATAGGAGGAGGACGCGCGCGCGCGCGTTATATGTGTGTGTGTGTCTGTGTGTGTGTGTGTGGGTGTGTGAGTGCGTGCGTGCGTGCGTGCGTGCGTGCGTGCGTGCGTGCGTGTTTGCGTGCGTGCGTGCGTGCGTGCGTGTGTGCGTGCATGCGTGGGTGCGTGCGTGCGTGCGTGTGTGTGTGTGTATTATGTCAGCTCAAGATTTTCTGACGAGTTAAAGTTAGAGGTACAGAAAAGAAATAACATGAAACACAATTACAAAAATAATAATAACTATAAGGCCTCCAGACCAATTCAGTTATGGAGACCAGTCTTTACGGAGACTAGCTATCTACGCAGTACAGGATTATAGTATACGAGTATGTGCGCAATCTCTATACCCTCACTCTCATAGTCCGATGGGACGGCAATTCGACACGACCGCTGAGAGATCAGGCGAAGGACAAACGACAAAAATCTAAAAAAAAGTACTCACACAATTATATCTAATTTTGTTTTGCTAATAGTATATACAGAGTGTCCAAGGAAATCTGCACCAGCGAAAGTCTGTGTTCTGAGAACACCAATACCTATCTCATTTTAGTGTGAATTTGTGGACGAGCGTTGTTGACAGAGAACTAATTGGCCCAAAAGAACTCCTATTTAGATTAAAAAAATGATTTTGTGGAGGCCATGGCAGATTCGGATGTCACTTTATTAACACGCCAGAACATGGTATTTCAGTGCGACGGTGTGCCCCTTGCCACTATGCAAGACAAGTTAGAAGTAATTTGAACCAGCATTTCCCAGAGTGATAGATTGGCTGTAATCCACCAATCGCCTGGCCTCCAAGATCCCAGACCTGAACCACATAGATTTTTTATCTGTGGATGCTATAGGGAATTATTGTAACATCGCGAATTTTCGAGTTTGGAGGAGTTAAAAACTAAAGTAAATGAAGTTCGAAAATAATAAGACAAAACATTCAATCCAAGTAATTTTTTGCATCTGTGCCGTTTGTGCATTGAGGCAGGTGGCAGGCACTTTAAACATTCATTGTGAAAACCGTAATAAATGAATGATTTCTGAAAACTATTTCTGTTGATTTATTAAGGACAATGTGAAAAAATAAATTTTGATTTTACTTTAATTGTGCTGTTTTAAATGTTTTTATCCAGCTTTCATAATTATTCACTGTATTAATCGGAAAAATGTGAGAAAAGTAATTTTAAATGCATGAAATAAATTTCACTATCTTCGACTAAATCACTCCGTTTTCGCACAAAAATGCCTTATAGTGTACCAATTTTTTTGTGTAATTTTGAGAGCTAAGGAACGCATAAAGTTTTTGAAATTATTAGGAAGTTATTCAATGAAGGTTAAATAATTTTTTTCAACCTGAAATCAAATAAAAATTTCTCTAAAACAGAAATTTTTATTTTGTGCGCTAAATCTGAGCTACTGGTAGTTAGAATTTTGGTGTTTAACATTTTTAGAGACGAACATACATGTTAGCCGTAATACTATTGCACGCCATAATGAATGCCACTAGCGCCACCTAGTATCGAGTAGCAGTACTAGGAGAGCTTTCTAGAAAATTCTCTACTAGACATTTCTACACATAGTCGTTTGGGACCGGTATGTGCTCGAACATTCTAGATGTTTCAGTAGAAAAAGCCCTATATAAGGCCAGTAAAGACCATGTCCGAGTCAGTATTGAATTGGCGATGCAATCGAATACTTTTAAGCGATATAACTGCGAATTGTGTTTTATTACTTGTGTGTTTTAAGTTGTAATTGGTGATCGGTAATGAAAGTGTCAATTTTGGTAATTCAATCGGCAGTTTTTACTGTCGTGAACCCTAACAATACTAACTCTCGTAACAATACTAATAAAAAAAATCTCTAAGAATTATTTCACAGAAAAAGTAATAGCTAAAACCGTCCAAAATTAAAAAAAAAACGAAGATAAAACAAAAAAATTCATAACTCGAAAACTACAAAAAATCGCGGAACATACATGGGGATCCAATCGATAGGTATTGGTGTCCCCAGACCACGGACCTTCGCTGGTACAGGATTACTGGGACAGCCTGTATGTTATCTTTTGACCAAGTGTTAAGTGATTAATGAGGTCACTATTTATAATGGCCGGGCAATATGAATAATGACAAGTCAAATCGGTCTACGTAATTAATACTGATTTAAACTTCATTATTTATCACAATGTCTGGTGGTTGTGAATATTGTTACGTAACTGTAGCGCAATTTGATAAAACCTAACATTACTTAACAATGTTAATCACTTTTAATACCATAAGTTAATAATGTACCAAGTGTAAAAATGCAAAGCACACACCACTTTGCAGTATCAAATGGCAGCAAGGGGGTATTCCTTCCTTTGTGTTCCAAAGAAAAACAAAACTTTATTCCTATTGTATTGTGTTATCAAAAGAAACCTTACTTAACTTAACCAATATTTTTATTATTCTGCTCAATAAGTAACGGACTTTATTTATAAAGCCCGGTCAATTAATTATTAAAATTGTAGTATTTATCATATCGCCTACTCATATTGGGCAGTTTTCAGGCTGCCTGGACATTATGAATAATATTTTGGTCCATAACTTAGGTATGTTATGGAAATAGTGCAATTTACTCTACTAGTATTTAATAAGTTTTGGACATCTAAATAAACTTGTTCCGGTTAAGAAATATCCTTAAATAAAAAAGTAAAGTTTCTTTTTCAATTTTCACGGTGTTGGGTTTTTTTTGAATAAGGGTTACAAACGAGCACACAGTCCACCTGATGGTAAGTGGTTGCTGTGGCCCATAGACATCGAAATTTATCTTCAATTAAGAATCAAAATACAGATGCGTTGCCAGCGCTGGGGGCTGAGATGGAATGGTTCGTTTCTAGTAAAAAGGGTCTCCGGTTCTACATACTCACCATACAAAACACAGCAACATTAAGCTGCTATTTTACGCTGGTATTCTGTGAGTGCGTTCCGACGGGTCGAGCCGACTCGTTCGTTCTGCAACCACAATACATCTGCAGCATGGCTCTACTACGTAATAAAGGTGAGCCGTGTGCTCTTTTACGTCTCCTATAAAAACCATGAAAATGAACAGAATAGACAGTAAATTATTTTTATACAAATGCCGACATTGTTTTAAGTTGTTCTACGTATTTGTTTCTAAACAGATATCACTTATCGCAATCGCGGCACTGACCTGAATCCGAAGCAAGTGATGCTCACTGTACAAAAAGTTCAACCCACGCGGCGTCGTGTCGACATAACAGACCTTAGGTACCATTATAACAATGTAAATACGATTGTCAACAGTGGATTAAATAAATATTTATTAACCGGTAGTTGCGAGACGAGATGAGTCGGGAAGCATTGTGTTCGAGGCGCGGGCGGCGACCGGACCGCGTTCAATCGTACTGTATAAAAAGGACGTGATGTAACACTTTGTTTTGTTTTAAATACACAATCGAATGATGCAAAGGATTCTTTTGTCATTGTATTTTATTTAAAAGTGCAAGTGAATCACAAATAAACGAACAAACAGAATTATTTTATACTTAAATAGCTTACCGTATGATATTAATGTTGCAGCATAGAAAAAAAACACGAACATTGTAGTGTAACTAAAATCCTGAATAAGCACTGACATTAAAGCACGTGCGCTCTGTTAGGACGTCTTTTATCGCACTAATCTATACGGAACGGTTTTTATCTTTCACCTGCATACTTTGTTATCACGGGCCAGTAAATTATTTTGATGTTTACTGTGGAAAATAAAGGCTATCTTCGGATAAATCGAATGCAAAATTTTCCAAATACCTTGCTCAATAGCACAGCTCTGAAATAGAAATGTAGCGTCTGAAGTAGCGTTGAGCACAAAAATAGATTTCGACCGACCTTCGTAAAATCGACGACCGAATGTAATTTGGGTGTTCGGCATAATGCATGCGATTCTTGGCACTAACTTAAACATTTAATAAAACTTTATTACTCATAAAACAGCGTTTGGATATAATATGACAATAACTACTTTAGTGACGAGCTGCATTTAAAATTATGACGAACAAATATATTTATTTCTAAAATCTCTATTCTGCCGATCAGAAATTCGGAAAAATGAATAGGAAAATCGACTAAAAAATAAAAATAATAATTATACATTTTCATCAAATTGTATTATTTTTAACTCTATTAAACTTATCACTTTTATATTCAAGCATTAATATACCGATTTTAAGAATTAAGTTGACAACTTAATTCCACCAGTCGGCTAAGCACGAATGGGTCGACTCGACCGGGGAAGAACCACGCTCTCACAAATTACGAGTACCAGCGTGTAAATAACTGCAATTCGTAATCCAATAACCGCGATTTTATAACTGCCTGCATTTATCACGTCATATTTAGGACAAGGAAATGTCAATCGTGTTGCCCCAATATGTATGCCGCATTCACATGTTTTTGTAATACCTATATAATTTTTAAATTTTTAGACATGCAGGTTTCCTCACGATGTTTCCTTCACCGCTATGTACGTGGTAATTCAGGACTTAAACTGCGATTAACAATTTCATTGGTGCTGATGGGGGTCGAACCAAAGTTGCTCGCGTATTACAACACTTATAGCGAGCGCTTAGTTTGAGTTACTACGGCTTCAACAATGTTAGAACGTTACACAGAGCGATTTTTTTTGGTCCTTTTTTACTTTGAACTTACCTACATAACTGGCTTAAGCACATTCAGTGAACATTTTACCAACTAAATCCTTTGCATCTCGAGATTCTTGTTATGTCCAAAACTTATTATCTCGAAATTTTAAGGAATTTCCTTTGATATTCGAGTGATCCAGATTCCACTGTATTTGCAAACTACTTAAACACAAATATAATAAATGGCGATCCGTCTGCCAACTATAGCCGTGTTAATTTGACAGCTTGGCATGTAACTTGGCCAATGTGGACGTATAATAAGCTGAAACGCTAACGGTAAAAATTTAAACGAATTTATTTGTAATATTCTAAAAGCCGCTATAATAAGATTGAATTGGACATAGCTTTTAAATAATTAACAAAACATAAGCAAGTTCATAGTTATTACTATTAAACTTTTGTATAGGCTTCTAGCTAAGTGCATCATCTGTTAAACTTAGATAAATTGTATTTTTATGTTATTATCTTGTATACTTAGTATAACGACGCGTGGGATTTTGAAGATGGTGGCTACCAGATATACGTGGGCGATTATAAAAGTTTACGAAATTCTGCTTTTTTAATGAAATTCGGTATAAACGCGGTCGTTAAACTTTTTAAATACGATTATTTGGTAATTTGGACGAATTTCAACTTTCAAAGGTTCCGACTTAAAATTGAATCTTAAGTAAACCGAAAGCTAAAGTTATAGTTATTTCTGTTGTGGGTAATATGTAATTAGGTTGGTCTTTTTAAATCACAAGTTTTTATTTTGAAAATAACGCGAGTTTATAAGTTCCACATTTTTTTTAAAGAACCGTCGTTTATGTTTATAATAAGCTTGGTAGTAATAGGTACATAATATACTTTATAAAAGTAATTTATTCCAGCCTGGATAGTATGTTTAACCCTTTAATTTTACCCATAAAAATTCGAGGCTGCGTGGTCGCTTGTTAGAAAGCTTTTCTTATAAGTTTTGAAAAACAGGATTCCTTCAAAGAGCAATTCGTTATATATCGCTTCTCGGCCTTTCGGTTTAGGTCAAAGTGTAAAGAATAATTTAAAAAAAATCCGTCAATATGTTACACCATCAGGACTATGTGAATCATTGATCTAATGTACGTTCTTGTTTCTAGTTTTATAAGTAGTTATAATATTTACAAATATTATACTTACGGATACGTACCTATCCATCATATTTGTTGATCATTTTTTTGTATTTCAGCTTTACTACTTTACTTTATAGGTAAGTAAACACTGAGCATATGGTGTCAGCTCAGATTTAATGTTTAAAATTAATTTGATCTGATGTGATATGATAATTAATGTACTTATAAGGTATGTATATATAGTAATATAACCTATTAATAAAAAGCTAATATACTTAAGTGGAAATAATAAAAATACTACCTCAATGGCTTAGCAAGATCCTCCGTTATGCCGAAAATATATCAGAATTAATTTTGAATTAAATATATGGTAAAGTTGAGGATTATTGTTAAGTACTATGTTAGATGAAAACACGATTCTGTAAAATTTTCTCGATAGAAAAAAAATCCAAAGTTACCTCCAAACTAAAATATAAACCGCTGGTATTCATAAAACACTTTAAATTAGATTATGAAACTTTGCATACTAACTGAACTAATTATGAAGCAGGGCTTATGTTTTTTATTTTTTTTTTTAAATATTTATTATTTTCACTGTAAAAAGAAATTACCTAAACTATCGGCGTCTTGAAGCTTGTTTCCTGCCGCCCGATCACGAAATAACCGTAATAAAAATAAGAAGCGAATGGGTTGGCGTAAAGAAACGGGCATAAATATGACAAACCTAATGAAATAAGTATCTAACGACCTATCTATGCTTTCAATATTAGTGATTACAAACATGTTGGTACATAGTACACGACGCGCGGGGAAGTGGGGGCGAAATTAGAATTTGAGCTGACTTTCTATATCTCCTTAAACAAACGCGTATACATGTTAACTTATTTCACAAAAAAAGAAAATAAAGCGAAAAGAGACTGTTAGTATTTTTTTTATTAAAGTCAAAAAAGTCTCAAACAAAGGTGATTGCGGAGCGCGACGGTGGGAGTCCAAACTCGGCCCGATCTTCTCGACTTAGTAAGTGCCGTCGTGTGCGTACTGTGGCTCGTGCGTCCTGTCACGTCACGTGCCAAACACACGCACATCAGCGGCGTTCGGTATATTTCTTAGAAGATAGACTACTATTCTGTTTTTACTATGCCATAGTCCTCCAAAGATTGCCTCATAGTAGTGATATTATTCGTTATAGTTACCACTGGCTTGTTTGCTAGGCGGGTTGGCAATCGTAGTTTCTCATTTTTGTTGAAGTTAGTAAGATGCTGATGCCCTTCTCCTGGTTTGCCTCCCTCTGTTGCCTTTACGACACTCACGGGACGATACGAAGTAGTGAATAATCTAACATCGCCACTACGCGGTTATTATCACTTCAACTAGTAATTTGACTGTAATTTATTTTCGTAGTTACTCTTATGTGGTGCATAATTGTGCAATTGTGAATCATTCTTATTTTATTTTAAATTTTACATAAGTAGGTTAAATACTCATACAGCCTCGACGGTGAAACGTTACAAGAAAACGTATTTTTTTAATACCGTACTAAATTTCTCCACTACGTTGATAAAGAAATTTCACTTCAATAAATGAGTCAGTTCATCTGATGGTAAGTGCATGCTGTAATCCATAATCATTTACATTTATTCTTTTTTTATAGGATAGGGTAGCAAACGAGCACACAGTACACCTGATGGTAAGTGGTTCTGTGGTGACATCTACATATATCCTCGATTACGAATCAAAATGCAGATGCGTTGTCACCCGTGAGGACTAAGATGGAATGCCTCGTTTCCAGTAAAAAGGGTCTCCGGTTCTCTATACTCACCATACGAAACACAGCAGCATTGAGCTACTATTTTAAGCTGGTATTCTCTGAGAGCGTGGTCCTAATCGAGCCGAAACATTCGTGCTAAAACTATACTAGTATTAGCATGGCTCTACCACGTATATTCAGATGCGTTCTCACTCCTTTGGACTAAGATGGAATGCTTCGGTACGAGTAAAAAGGGCCTCCAATTCTGGTTATTAACCATACTAAACACAGCAATATTATGCCTCTATTTCAAATTGGTATTTTGCTTGAGCCTCTGCTAATTAAGAAAACGGAGTGCTGTGTACATTTTAAGTGACGCAAAAACCAAACCAAAACCTTGCTCCACTTAGCGTATGAACACGCATTTACGCACACCCGTTCGTGCCACAATCATAATATAGCTGCATGATTGCTCTATCACGCAGATGACATAAGCATTTCGCCCTTAACTACTACGAGTTTTAACAATAACAATGTCTTCTTTCATCCTTTAACATTAGACACAGTTTATTTTTCTCGTTTGTTAAATAAGCTCGAAGGGGTAGGTGTACGATCGCGTATCATTAAAACTATTTACAATTTATCTTACCAACTTTAGTCAGAGAGTCAAGCTTGGTGATTTTCTCAGTTATGAGGTTACATATGGTGTGCCTCTGGGAAACATTTTAGGTCTGACGCTGTTTCTCATTTTTATTAATTATCTAAGCGATATCCAACTGCCTTGAGGGAGGATCGTTACCTGTGCTGATGATACAGCTCTCTTTGTCGATGAAAAGTCATGGGAAGAAACTATTGAACGCAAAGTGGGTTAATAAAATTGTTAGCTGATAACGTTACGTTATCAGCTAACAATTTTATTAACCCTCAATGTTACGAACACTAAATACGTTACCTTTGCCTTAAGGAATTCGAGTCTACCTACTTCTAGCTCTCTCTTTGCACATTGCTCTCCAAATTTCACTTCTTGCTTATGCCCAACGCTGGAGAGAGTTGAATCCATCAAATACCT